TTGTTTAGTAACTGCTAAAGGCTGTACATATGCAACAATATTACAACTTTTGTAGTACAAAATTGCTGTGCTCGGCATACATTTGTTGCTAAATATGTTGGTATACAACTTCACCGTAACCTAACTTTCTGCTGTCATATTTTTGTTAAAATGCCATAACCAATGTTTTAAGACAAACAACGCATGTATATTGGTTCAAAAGGTTTTATCAACTGTTCAAACGGAAGATATAGATCTGGTACAAATTCTGGGTAAATCATTCGACTCTGTCGGTATTTCATTTCAGACATTTGTCAAATTGTTGTATAACACCTGCAGGCAACACCAAAATATTCTAATAAACTAAAGACAACATGGACGATGCCATGATTATACACAACCACCTGCCATATTGGGCAAACGTTTATTCCTCTATTTAATATTAAATAATTATATTTCAGTTCAAAATTACAGATATAATGTGAATGTGATGAACATTAGTGTAATTGTGTCTAAATATAGGATTTGTGGAAGATTTAACGCAGACAAGTTCAGTATTCCATCTTAAAAGTCTAGACATACTTTTGATCATTATTAAAATATGAATCAAATACGAAGCCCATAGAAATTACGTAACTACTTTACACGATAATCACAATAACATTTGTGGCGTAAGTAATTCAATAGCCCTATATCACAGTGTAGAAGTTTATCATATACCTGTGTATGAAATTCACAATGGCCGATATATAAGTAAACAAGATGACTGTAATGTGTTAGTTATATATTCTTCACTTCGTCTATACAATACATAAGAAATATTTTGGTCGCAATAAAGTAGAATCACGTAACAGAATAGTTGTATAGTTGACAAAAACCGAATCTTGCATTGACGCAAATGTGCTATAGCGGCTGCAAGAGGCTTACACATTTGTTGTATAACTGTTACTTGCAGCCCTTATACTCGTACAACCTCTTAAATGACTGAAGTGTCCTAATAGGTGTGCCCATTCCGCTTGTATAGCTGTTCTAAGAGGGTTTTGCCAATGTTATTACAGTATTACAATGCTGTGTAAGCAATACTGTATAATCATTCTTGCAACTCTAATAGGAGTGATGATTGTTAGTTGGGTGGTTTTTATCTGCGTACACGCAGACAATGATAATTTGTATTGCGTCGCATCAAAATTGACATAAATAATTCTAATTAAAATGGAAACAAAATATTAAATTAAATGTTCGAACAGATGTTGGGTTTGACAGTAACCTAACCTATTGTAGAAGCCTGTGCGAGCATTTTTTGGTGGAACATATTGGCAACGCGGCAGATTGCACGACCTTCTGCGTCATCGTTGCTAGGCAATGTGGTGATGCCCTTCGTTCTTAAACCGGCTTCTATCTCTTTGTAACATGTGATGATACACAGTTCTCGCGTTTTTCTCTCGTAAACATTGACCTCAAGCCGTAATACAAATTTGGTTTTCCCTGTATAGACCCAAGGATGCTCTCACTGACGATCTCAAAACTGCAACTCATAATTCCAGAGTGGCTTCCAATTTTTCTGCTAGAGTGGCTCGTGGGACTTTTGTTGTTTGCTGAAGTCCTGTAGGTCAGTAGGTTTGACACTTTTGACAGGTCTGGTTGCCTAATTACCATACAGAGTAGGCAGAGACGACTGAAAAAGAAAGATAGGAAACAAATGGAAAGTAAATAGAAACTAGGATTCGAGAAATTGAAATTTATGTGGAAAATTGAGATTTGTCAATGTTTAAAATTTTAAACCTGGTTATACCTGGAATTGTATGCATCGATAGCTGACATGTTCTTAATGGAAGCAACTTCATTGTCATATGTATGACAAGTTCTGAGAAAATTTCTGCGGAGGAAGGACTTTATAAGATTCAGTACCGTTACACCTCATTTTAAAGGTAAACTGTGTGGCTGAAGTCATTAGTTTCTTCAGCACAGTCGTTGAGTCAATCTAAATTTCCATAGGCATGGTATTCAACTGAACCCATGAAAGGTCGTTTGGAATTCGCTAATAGTATTATAGTAAATATAGTATTGCAGTATACCCTAAATTAGACGGATCGGTTAAGGCCTCACATTTCATTAATAATTTATTTTTATTAGGCATTTCCTTTGCCGTTCGTGTTCCCCAACAAGCTCGGTCTTTTTCGAATCGTGCCGCTACTGCCATTCTCGTTTACTTCAGTAACGCTGGGCGAAAAACATCAAACCAACTTTCATACATATACCGGGTGTTTCAAATTCGACCATCACTATTAGGATCTCGGAAACTGTAAAAGATATGCAAGCCGCTTAAATTTAAATGGAGGAAAAGTTGCGTATTTATGTAACTAACAAAATGCCGCTTGGAAGGCTTCGAAATATGAAGTACATATAACAATATGAGAAACAGAAAAAATAGAATTTTCTGAAAATCGTTTTAATTTTTCCTGATTTTATTTGTACTGGTATTTAAAAATAAACTCCATACTAACATTACCACTTTTTATCCTCCAATCTTATGGATAATTAAAATTTCAAGATGACATTTCGTCTCATGTCTTCCAGCACAACTCCATTTTTTCTTGAGGACACCATATTCTATTTTTGCACAGGTGAATAGAGTTCTCAATTCTGATTCTAAAAATGCATAATATGCCATACGTTGACATTGTCGAACCTTGGTTATTTAAAAAAAATTCCTAGGTAGGCTTTGAAATTATCAGATAAACATCTGTTTTATACACCAAGTTTATCGCAATTTTTTTTTGTATTTGTCTTAGGTTTATTTAAGATTGGATTTGGGATAATCTTGCTCTAAAATTACTAAATATTGATCAATACAAATTGACATTAGTTTGCATTTGAAATAGGTACATCCATGGACATTTTGAAAGCAGCCAAACATACTTTAAGGAGTATTAGACAAATATAAACATTAAAATTCATGAGCAAGACTACTGGCGCTTGTTTGGAAAATTGCCGTTATATGATTGCTTTGCTATTAAGGGTCCTTACCCTAGCTACGCTATATCATTTATCTATTGCCTACCCAGAGCATTAAAAGGAAGAAGGAACAATTGGATTAAAAAATAAGTATCTTGGCTTAAGTTGTGAATGGTAGTAACAATTTCAGAGTGACTCATAATTTTAACAATATTAAGTTGTTTTGACAACTATCCAAGTAGTAGCGGTATCTTAAAATAGATAGGTTCTATTCGTCTGTTCGTCATGGCCTTGATTTATGCGAAGTGGCCATTTTTATTCATATAGCAGTCACTTGAGAAATGGAAGCAGTAAATCAATTGATAACAGCTGTTATCAATTATACTTTGCAAAAGCTAGCCCGTGAAAATAAGTACGATGTAGACACCAGAACCAGCGGCGCCGGAAGTGGAAGGCAGGAGGGACCTCCTCCAGAATTTGCAATTTGGCCTCTGGGCTCTTTTTGGCTCTCTGTAGACCACGAAGTAGGCCCTTTTTGGCATACAAAGCCGGCCTCATGATTGACTTGGAAGTCGATGGCAGTGCAAAATAATAATATCATGTATTGGGTGAATTTGTAGCAGGAATACTGAAAGGCGAAGGACATTTGGACTTGTTGATGTAAAATAGTGCAATAAAATAATTAATAATAATAATAATTGTCTTTATTGGTTTAACTAAAAGGCGGGGTTCACATTGCGTGCTCTTCCTCTCAACCTTACAAAGAAAAAAAAATGTACAATTAAAATAATGAATGAGTTATGACATTCCATTCTTGCTGTTTATTTAAAATAAAGATTTAATGGTCTTCTTAAATGGAAGTTCGCTCAGCCCCAGAAACTCCCGAGGGATGTTGTTATATTCTTTAGCAATTTGGTAGCTGAAAATCCTTTCATAAATAGTGGTTGTATGGGTAGGAGGAGTGATGAGGAGTTTGGATCTAATATTTATATTGTGAACTTCTGTTCGAAATTTAATTTGTTTATAAAGGTAGGTAGGTCTCTTTTGAGTAATAATTTTATTAAACTAGGTGATCGCAGAAATTTTGAATCTGTTTCTCATGTTGATCCATTTAGTTTCTAAAAATTTTTCCGAAATGTGTTCATATTTTCTTATGCCATAAATATTTTGTGAGAGATTTCTGACCTTCTCTTTTAAGTTTTGTATTTCTTGTCAATATTAAGAATACTTTTTACTTATAATTCATATTATATCTGTCTTTTAGTATGCATACGCGAAACTGTCAGAACCTACAAACCTAACTCTCTCGTACACGCACTGAAAAACACAAAATATCTGTCGTGTGACGATATCTCTTTGGTAGGCCCTTTTGGATGAACCCTGACCCATGGTACTAGCTCCGTCCCCAGCTCAAAATACTTCCGGCGCCCCTGATCGAAACTGCAGTTGTAAAGTTGTAGTACCAAAATGGAGGAAGCAGATCCCGATACTAGGCCACCTTTGATCCTTTTTGCCTATTCCATACACTAACAATGGACCTAACAGATTAGCTAGCACCAAAGCTTGATGTTGGAACTAGATCACAATATCCGACCAACTTTATTGTCTGTCAAATGCCTTTCTTGCTGAATAAGCTCAACTTAGAGGTCTTGATACTTGACATGCTTGCTTAGGAAGTAGAAAAATGTTTCGTCTTTATGGCAGGTCAAAGCTGGTAGTTCGGTGAGAACTTAGTGTTTCTCTGATTGACGAGACGCATGTGGTGGACGATACAGAGACGCCGGAAAAAACATCTAGTCTCCTGCTACCAACGTAGGAGTTGGTAGTACCCGCGTTTGGCAACTACTTACTTCACCTTTTTGCTCACTATATACTGAGTGCTTCGATAGACCCAGCAGTAACCGTTTATCAGTGCTGACCCTCCTGTCCTTACATCAACGATAGTCGCTATCAGAAGTCGAATAAAGAATCAATGTGGTCCTACTACTGCTGAAACCAAAGTTGCAGCACCAAAAAAACTGGTACATATACGGTATGGCGTCAACGTAACCCAGATGTATTTCCAGATATGGACGCAAAGAAGCTAAACCACCAATGCAATCAAGTTGTCGACAAGAGATGGCTTTCGCGCTTGGAATTAGAGCCGATCAGGCGAGGTGTTCGAAACTACATAAGAGAAATAGTTTTAGAGAACGCTCAAACACACTCAGATGATCAGTAGCTAGAGAATGCTGAATATAAAGAGACATGCGATAGCAAATAGATCAAGATGAGAAGCAAAATATCAGACGAGACGATCAGGATGATAGTGAAGCAAGCGAAATGGAAATCAAAATCGAAGCAATAAGAGAGATAGAACATATACAAATAGAACTTAGTAATAGAATAAGGTACACAGAACCTTTTACAAAAGCCCACTGTAGAGAAAAGACAAGCCGACAGCGAGCCCAGAAACTAATATAACGGAAGTGCTTGCCAAGATCTTTGCTGCCATTTCCGTCATGGAAATCCCCCTCCACGCCCGAGTACCGGCGATTCAAAGGGTCCCTATACTATGCGGGAGGTCAACTTCAGGCATAAGACCGTAAGATGGGTGCCCTTGTCGCTCGACATCAACAAAGCTTCTGGCCCAGACTTGATTCCTGTCGTTGTATTGAAGAGGCGTGCAGCGAAACTTGCTCCAGTTTTTTCGACGAATCATCCCATAACTTCAACGCTGGTGTTCTCCAGGGATCGGTTTTGGCTCCGACACCGTTCCTCTTACACATTGATGATGTTCAGAGGAGGGCTGTCCTACTAGTAGATGATTCTCATCCATGATGCCGCCGCGCGGTGGGTCCGGATTAACAAAATGTAGAATGTGCTTGCGATCCTGATAGCTGTCGCGGCGCCCTGGTATTTAGGCTTCTGCCTGCGCGGCTGCTTCGGTATCACAAAAGGCTATAGCAACCAAAAGAGAACAAGCATCATGACCACGAAATAGACAAAGTAAACAAAGTGCTAGCTAAGTGAGCGAAATAGCAGTGTCTGGATATCCAAGACATAAATAACTTACATGGACGTTGCTGCAGCAGTCATTGCGGGGAAAATAGATGAGCAGTCTAAGATGACAAAACAAGAACCACAAGGCGACAAAACAAGAACCACAAGGCGACAAAACAGAATCGATCAAGACAGAAAACACCTTTCCCTTTTGGAAGAACTAAGGTCAGGAGTAGTTAGCGATAGTGTCGATCAGCTGATCGACCAAATGGTAAAGGAGGAACATATCCGCCCATATAGACAGCTAAGGTGGAAGAACTCGGTCAAAAGCCAGAGCCAAACGGGTCAGAAGATACCAAGATCGTCACCTCCAATTTATTCATAATAAAATTTCCAGAAATAACACAAAAAGATTTTATCGTGTAATCAATATGAAAGATTCTATCACAACACCACCAGACCCACGAGGAGTAGAGAGTTTCTGGAAAGATATCCTCGAAAATGACGTCCAATGTAATAACGAAGCAAAGTGGATCCAGGAGAAGAGCAGAACATACAAAACGATACAAGAACAGTCGTGGACAACCCTTTCTATCGGTGACTTGCGCTCAGTGATACAACAACTACACAACGAGAAGTAGCCAGGTCCAGAAAACATTTAAAATTGTTGGGTAAAGACACTTACGTCTTTGCATCGATACCTCTTGAGATGTATTAATCAGTGCATACGCTTGTTTGCTTTTGGTCTTATGTCTTCTATGATAAAACATATACCATCCTGATGATTACTAAAAAGCATGAAACATCATTTGTACGGTTGGTTCATTTATATTTATTTCATCGTTTGGGGCAGATACGACCTTTTTCTATTCCTATGAGAGGGTCTGTGAGATTTGACATCAACAGATAGGGCGATTTTTATTTTTGTTGTATAGCCACAGCTTTCGATGCTTGACTAACTATAAGCATCTTTTGTTTTACACAAATCTGACTTCAATTTCCTTAAACAGTTCTCGAAAGACAGGTATGGCCAGCAATTTTTGGCTCCCGTATAAGTCAGAAAGAACTATGGTTGGACTTTACACCTTACCAGTAGCTTACTAATATGGTAACAGTTGCAGAGTTTTTGATATTAGGTCTGGTAAAGGCTAAGTAATCACCAAAAAGTTAAACCACCCCTTTTCCTTACAACGCCGATGGTGTTTGCTGTTAAGGTTTTGATGAAATTTGGTACAATACTACTATTAGGGCTAATTATGGCAAGGATAAAAAATCTTTGTAGCTTTTGGAGTCACTAAAGTGGACGAGAATTACTGCCAAGGATTAGATTAGGTCTTGTGAAGGCTGAGTAATCACCAAAAAACTAAACTACCCCTCTTCCTTACAACGCCGATGGTGTTTGCTGTTAGGGTTTCTATGAAATTTTGAAACAATACTACTTAGGGCTAATTATAACAAGGATAAAAATTTTTTTGTGGTTTTTGGAGTCACTTAAGTGGACGAGGATTACCGCCAAGGACTAAAAAGTCCTGAATTTTGGCAAGAGTGAAAAGCAGAGGGGTTGTAGGGGAGGACGAAAGGCCTACAAATTTTACTCCGTTTTTCGTTATAGAATAAAAGATGAAAGCCCGACGTATTTTCCTTCATATTCCGCGATTCCTAGCAAAAGGCAACACGACATTTTCAAGCCGTGTCGTAAACATAATTTAATTTGACTAACCCAATTACGAGCGTGAAGCAGCGGGATGGAGTGGTCGAGGTTTGCACGTGGCCCTCCGTTTTAGATGCCCTGATTGCATTCAGATTAATTCCCCATTTCTACTCTGATTCATAGGAAATTAGGTGGCACTTCAGTGCTGATTAGGTAGCTGTAGCACCAAGATGGCGATCATATTAAATTCTATCCTGACGGCCTTTAATATGTCTTCTCTAACTGTTCACATTTTTAAAAATATGAAAAATAATTTCTATAAACATGGGTCCTGAAATGCAGAGTTTCCAAGGTACAGGGTGATAAATTTAAGATTTTTTTTCTTTTTCATTAATAGGGTGGCCCATAAGTCCTTTGAGCTGGAAAAAAAAGGAATAAAAAAGTCGATGACTGCGCGGCAAGTCAGCACTGTAATGCTTGCCATTTCTCTTCGGATATTTTCTTTCAGGACATCAACTGATCGCGGAGTGGTGTGGTACACTTTACTCTTGAGGTAGCCCCATAAAAAGAAGTCCATTGGGGTCAAATCTGGACTACGTGGTGGCCAGGAAATGTCTCCTCTTCGAGAAATTACTTTGCTGGGAAAAAGTTGACAGACGACGGGCATAGAAGTGTTGGAGGTGTGGGCAGTTGCTCCGTCCTGTTGAAACCAGGTCTGCGTATTATAGCCTGGAAAATTCTGCAACGCTGGTGTCAAAAACTCTTCTATCATTGCTACATACCGCTCCGAAGTAACAGTTAATGCGCGACCTCTGTCGTCCTCAAAAAAATAAGGGCCTACGATGCCATGCGCTGACATAGCAGCCCAAACTGTAACTTTAGGGCTGTGTAAGGGCTTCTGATGCTTACGCCTTGGATTTATCGGGGCTCCAATAACGGCAATTTTGTTTATTTACATGCCCGTTTAAATGGAAGTGAGCCTCGTCCGAGAACAACACATTATTGAGCGAAGAAAATCGATTCAACATTTCATTCGCAAAGTTTAGTCTCTGAATAGCGTCATTATCTTTTAATTCCTGCACTAACTGAATTTTGTAAGCGTGCAGACGTAAATCTTTCCTTAAAATCAGCTGTAAAGATGTTCTGGGTACGTTTAGTGCACTGGAACGCTTACGAGTAGACTGGGTAGGATTTTGACGAACAGACTGTGCCACAATGTTGATGTTTTCTTCAATACGAGTTGTCCTTGATCGACCCCACCGCTGTTTATCTAACGTCGAACCAGTCTCTTCGAACTTAGCAACCCAGTTCTTAATCGTTTGAGCTGTTGGACACTTTGTAAAATTGTGTAAATTGTGGTATTCTCGATATTTACGCCGCGCAATGGTTGCCGAATCATTATTTTGATAAAACGCGCGCACACAAAAAGCACGATCCGCTTCAGTGAAACACTCCATGGCGACTGAATTCCCAGACACTGAAAATACTGCCCCCACCTCGCCCGCGCCGCTCACGCTCACCCGTTAAATTTTATTCAAATTTGAAATTTCAAAGGACTTATGGACCACCCTATCTTGAAAAATGTTTACTCAAATCGGTTGATATTTGGCAATATTATTTGTTGTATCAAGAGACTAATTTTGCTAAAAAAATCACAAGTCTGAAATATGATGAACATGGATAATGTCATCATGATGTGTAGCGCATCATTGAGTACGTACAAATGTATTTGTCTTTCACCGTCTACACATTTTCTTCATGCCTGTAGATACCGGACATGGATAAACATTTTCAAGTTGTCTTTCTATTAATTTTTTTCTGGCTTCAATTCAATTTTTTAGCTTATTATAAAATATAGTAGCACTGTATGGTCATTCATCTCGGTAGCCTTCTTCAAAGTATGATTCAAACAATGACAATTGCGATACATTTTATATTTGTCATTGTCGCTGGCCTGTAGACGGAGGAAGTATTATAAACGCGAAAATGAGATATTATCTTTTTTGGATGTTGTATGATATGTATGTTACGAAAACTATGTAACTCATTTCCGTCTGTCTGTCGGTCTGTTGGTCCTTGGCCTACCTATAGCTTGGAAAATACTGCTCGGATTTGGATGAATTATCTACACAAGGTTACTTGTATGCCAAGAACTAACAACATTATAGTTTTTGAAAATCGGTTCAGTGGCGGCGAGAAAAGGCTAAAACGAAAGAAATAGGAACCGCTCAACGTCGTTTTTCGACGTTTCAGAAGACCCTGATCATTTTTGATAAAACTGTTAGTACAAAAACAACAGGATAAGTTTCAAATCTTATATTAGTACACGATGTTGCGGAATCTTTCGGACTTCTCATCAGGTGTATTTTGGTTTTCTGTCGTCTTCGAGGATTTGTTTTACAACTGTCAGATAATAGATATGTCTGCTGTTTTCGATACAGTTGACCCCGTTTTCTTTCTTTCAAAAAACATCGTATTCCTGAATTTCGGTGTAGCTTTTCTGATGTCTTTACCACTTGTGAAGGAGTGCGTTGTAAATATGAGCGGAAAAAGCTGACATCCGCCCACACAAGATATTACATTTTCCTCCTATACGGATAACAAAAGCGCCTCTTAAGCTATATTTACTGGCAGAGTGTATCTCACGACGATAACGGCAGCGAAAGTCACAGAAAATGGAGTTCTCGCTTTTGCAGTATATAAAGTACACATTTGCCCTTGTTAGTCCTATCTTATAGCTGGTGAGCGCGAATATAACTCGTATGTATAGATGCTATACGGGACAAAGCAACCGCCTTATTCTCCTCAAAGATTCATCGGGTTCATTTCATGCTTATACCACAATGATATCTTTAAACCGAAATAAGAACGGATAGTGTAGTTGCTGCTGTAGCTCCTCAGCCATGAAACCAGTATTTTAGAGGACGGTTTCGGGCTGTAACATGTTTAGATTCCACAACGAAGCAGCCGCGCAGCCAGAAATGCTAGAACCCGCGGCTTCTATGAGGACCCCAAAGAAACTTTGTTAATTTGATTTTTGAACTGCCTAAGGTTAGTAGCACTGAGAAAAGCCTAGATTGTTCCACGGTCTTGACACCCTAGGGACAAAGGAGTGGTCGTATCAGGAAGTTTTGGATCTACGAAATTTGACGCAGTTATGATGGGAGGCCGAAATCGGGCGGGTCTGCCTGGCAGGCACATCGCGCGGCGGCATCATGGAGGAGAGCTCTGAGGAAGACAGAAAAAAGAACAGTCCTCCTCTGGAAAGCATCGAGCATAAATAATGTAGTCGGCGGTGTATAGCGCAAAGAGGTCATGTGGAAAAAAGTACTTCAAGTCCTCGAGATATGGAAGCCGAAATAAACGGAGCTTTGGCAGAACCCGGCCATCCATCGAAGCCGGATTAGCACTAGGACGCGCTAGGTCGTCAAGGAACAGTACTGTTTTTTGGAAGCATTAAATTGTGCTGTTATCAGCAAAGCTGTGGATTGGATTGATCGTTCAGATAAGGAGGGTCGCTGATACTCGAACATACTCGGAGCCAAGGCTGATCACTGGGGAACACTCGCGTTGACGTTGTTGAAAGAAGAGGAGAACCCGTCAGTTACGGATGTCTTGCGGCCAGAGAGAAGTCAGCCACCCATCTGCAAAGTTTCTCTAGGAGGCCATAGCAAGAAGGCAACGTGCCACATAACGTATAAATGATTTGAGCCATAGCTATTACTTACTTTTGCCAAAAGACAGGCCTTTGTTCAAAAATACGGTAGATATATTTTAGAAGATAGGAATCTCAAAATTTGGTGAGGCAAAATTCACATTTTCGTCTTCAGTGGTTACAAGCGAGGCCCTGATTCAAATATGAAATATGACCGCCAAAGGGTCCTTAAGTATCATGGGACCTAATTTAAGTTAGAAAATAGGGCACTTCGGCACACCCGCTGGTCGT